AGGTAGCAATACAAGGAAAAATTAAAAGACTTACTAGCTACTTTTTACTGCCAATATTGCACCTAGTTGAGCTACTCTCTGCCCTTTTAGGGTTGATATGGAACTGTTCTCTCTTCATTGAGAGAGAGGACTTAAGTTAAGTAAAGTTGTCGCATGGAAATAATTTTGCCTCGTGGCGTATCCGAACACAGACACTGCCAAATTTCAAAGACCTCCAGGTCAGAAGATCAAAGGTTGGAGGATAGAGGGGATCCGACAGAACCTCAGCCTCAAAGGGGCGAGAGAAGAGAGATCATTACCGGTGTTTAGCCAGGGGTTTTAGTATACCCGGTACATGCAGCATGGAAAACACTGCCATCTCCTAACACACACACACACACACACACACATACATACATACACACGGCAAGCCTAGCCACTTTTAGGTTACTGGACTATATGTGCAAAAGGTTGTGTGTAATAACCGCTGGATTGTATATGCTAATGTCTGTCTGTGCTGATATGTTTAGAGTATTAGTGTGCTAGCAGCCGAAAGTCGCTAGCATTCATGTGTTTCGTTTCACGAACAAAGACTTTACCGGCTGTTCGTGAAACGAATGAGCTACCACCCAGTAGCCCACACACAGAGGGTCGTGTGGCACTCATTAACCGATTGCAACATTGTTGCAATCAGTAGTTAAGGGCTTTCCTAGGTGGCAGTCGTTCGGCTACCGACCACGCGGCGGGCGGCCATTTTGGATCCTTTGTTTCCCCAGCGGTGTGTGGTCGTCGAGCGCATGGAGCTGAAATCGACTACTCGACGGTGCGTACACCGCTGGGCTTCCAGGCCATTCGGGAGCTCCGGTCTTTCCCTATTCTGGTTCCCCATCGGTGTTCGGTACTTTTAGGCGAAAACAATTGTAACGGAGCTCCCTGTACTCCGACCGAGTACCCTCCGTTGATGGATGCTCCTAGCGCTTCCTGAGGACTCCAAACACTGCAGCCGACACCACAACCACCGCAGACTCCACAACCGCCGTAGCTTAACTGGAGTCTCGCCGTCTTCCTTCCACCCTGGATCAGCTTCTGTCCTCCAGGACCGTGTGGGGAAGACCTCTCCTCCAGGAGAGCGTAACAGGAACAGCTCTTAAAAGAGCTAAGTGATTAAAAGCTCAGGGGAGTATGCAGAGCATAGCAATCCCCAGTGTGATATAGCAGTTCCCTCCAATAACGAGACAAGGCTACGTATTGAGGGTCAAGAAGATCTGATGTTTAATGGCACACACTCTGCTTTTATGAGATTCTGCCCATGCAAGGGAGACACCCACATAATTAGCAGTATAACCAATCGGAACAATATACATTCGGGGAAATTCCCATCCCTCAGATAATCACATAACATAATTAAAACAGAACAGTAAAAATACAGTTTTTATACATGTACTATAACTTCCAAACTACATATCTAAAAATTACATATTTGGAATCAATCCATTCAGGGGAGCAACATATTAAAAAATGGCACAAATCAGACAAGGGGTTCAAAAGTTAGCAAAAGTGTCTTTTGGGGCCTGGCTGGCAGCATGGTTTTCTGGCCCAAACCGGTTTTACAGAGGCCTCTATCCTGGACAATGGGGAAAGTAATCCAATTATCCAGGGATAGAGGCAGACTCCATTAACCACATGTTAGCAAAAGACACAAAAAGACACAAAAATACATAACTCCTATCCTACTGAACAGAACCCCCACATTCAACCTATCCCCAGATGGCTTGGATCTGAGCGCTCAATATATCCAAACAGCGCTCAGATCCCACAAATACAGTCAAATCGCCATACACACTAGGTCCATAGTCATGGGGCAAAAGGCTGGCAATTAGGCTTCTCCATAACACAGGGAAGCAGGGCAATTTGCCAAATAAAATAACAGTTACAAATGGCAGTTTGTAACAACAATGTTAAAGGGTATTTCGTGCGGCGTTCGGTTATTTAGGCTGGTATCTGAGCGGTATTCTCACGAAATGTGCGCTCAGACCCCAGCTAGCTACCGAATGTCCATTCATCTAAATAACGTGAATAAAGGCAAAGTTATATGTTTTAATGTAAAATGTCGGTTCTGCTGCACGGAGGGATAATCCACTTAACGGTATATTCCAGTGGCTGATGGGAGAAATGTCCAAATTGCTAAGTCCCCCATGTAGTCCCCTACTGTATAACCCCTGCAATGTCAGTAGGGAAACCCCTTGCATGGGGACTGTGGCGAAACCAACCTCGCCACTGTGAACTGGAGACTATGGCCCTGCAGGTTAAACCCTGCAGAAAGGCTTATTTGTGTGATCTGAGTGCCATTCATCTAATAATGTGCGCTCAGATCCCAGCTATCTGGGGATATGTGAAATGTCTGTGTGTTATGTGTAAAAGGTGACTTTATGTATTTTAAAGTGTTTTGTGTCATTTTGCAACCATGTGCTTAATGGAGTCTTGTGTCTGTCCTGGGAGATAATTGAATTACTTATCTCCAGGATAGAAGACTCTGAAACTGGTTTGGGCCGGAAAGCCATGCTTCATTTAGTCACAAAGGACTTTCCCTTAACTTTTGAACCCCTGGTCTGATTCGTGCCATTTTTTAATATGTTGTTTCCCTGAATGGATTGATTATGAAAATGTATGTTTTATGTTTGTGACATGTATATTTTAGAAGTTATAAATATTGTGTACAAACTGTATTCCTCTGCCGGTGATAATGAGATTACCCATTGTGTTCAGTAATCATATCACCTGCAGAGGGGAGGATTTTGTGTGGGAGTGTCTGGGTGTATTGTACGGATTGATTGGTTGTTTTGTAACGCCCTGTGGGCTGTACTATGTTTGTGGATTGGGAATAAAAGAGACTGTATGTGACAGTACAGGGAGATTCTGCTTGACCCTCAAACCGATGTGTCGTCTCGTTTTTGGGGGGAATTGGATTGTATGCTGACTGCCAGGAGTGTAAGCGGATTGTATGCTTTTCCTGTTCGGCTGATTCCAGTGTTCGTGTGTTTCCAGTTCGGGAGTTGGTGAATTCGTACAGTTTGCAGTTCGGGAGTTTGGTGCTTGCAGTAGCTGCTGGTCTATGGGAAAGGGGATTATCGCCTAAACGGTTTTTAACCTCTTGTGAGAGAAACGGTCCGTTACAGGGACTTGCATAAATACTTTGACCTGTGAATAAAAACCTCAGTTGACTCCCAGAACTGTGTTTCGTCCGGTTACTGGGGGATTTTGGATTTTGCCTTATTTTTCAGCGCTTTACTTTGGATTACCTTCTGTACCGGCAGAGATCTTGGGATTTAATATTGCAGCTCCGCTACAATTGATGGCAAGTGACGGGATCCAACCTTACAGCCAAAACGCGACGTTCGGATAAAGTGGAACTACCGAACGGAAAAAGTGAATGGCAATTCGGATGCAGCGGAGAACCGAACACAAAAGTGAATGGAGATGGATTACACTGCCTTAAAAAGGCAGACGTTAAAGGAACTGCTAGAAGCCAGGGGGAAGATAGCCAGCAATAAGCCAAAAGCTGTGCTGATTGCTGAATTGATGGAGGGAGACAGAACCCGCAGTGTTACACCCCCACCAGCCATGGAAGAAACCCTCTACCAAAAAGAAATGAGAACCAGGATGGATTTTCTACCGCAGCCAGTACCCCTGGAAATATTGACCGTGCTGATGGCAGATGTGCAGGAGTATGTGATAGCACACCGTCACAGAATCCATTACTGCCTGTTACGGTACCTCCAGTAATTAAATGCACAAACCGCCGTTTAGTGAATGTTCCCCGTTCGCAATACTGTGGTCTGGTAGCGTATGCAGTGAAACCATGCGAACCGCCAGCCAGGGAACACTCCAAACTCCCGAACGGTACCTGTACGGCCCTTTCCCTTCTCGAGCTTCAAATACACGAATCGCCAATAGCAGCCGAACGGCAATAGTTTCCAAGCGGCAAATAATTCCAATAAGCAGTTGTAACGGACCGTTTTGCCCAAAAGGGGTTAAAAACCGTTTAGGCGATATTCCCCTTTCCAGATACACCGACAGATCCTGTAAGCACCAATCTCCCGAACTGGGAACACTTGAACACTGGAAGTATCCGAACAGGAAAACCCATACGAAAGGGTTACACTCCTGGCAGTCAGCATACAATTCAATTCCCCCAATAACGAGACGACACTTCGTTTTGAGGGTTAAGCAAAATCTACTGATTTATTCACACAACAGGCTTATAAAGGATTCTCCCATGCAAGGGAGGGATTTACAGTATACCAATAGCAGAATGGTTACAACCCACAGATTCCCTCCCCTCAGATAACCAGTTAACATAATTAACATGTACCTAGTTTTCCCCGAGTTTTGGATGTACCCAAAATACTTGGGGTACATCCACAAATCCAGTATCTCCAGATAGCCCTGGTCTGGAGGACCAACATATGTGAAAATCAGCCCATTCGGATAAAGGGTTCGGGAGTTATGGGACTTACAAGTTTTGACCGACCGCATGGCAAAAGTATCCGAAAATAGTTCCATGTATTTTGGCCCTGCGGTCGGTCACAGAAAAGTGAACAAAACACATGAATGGCCTGGTTTATAGAGCTTGGGGAGGATTCGTATGAATCCTCTTGTTCGTGTGATCCTTTCTACCGAACGGCGGGCCGTTCGGTAGTTTCTGCACGAATTGCTGGAAGTCTGGAGGTCTCAGCGGTGTTTGCCTAGTCGAGTGTCCTATTTTAGTTCCAGACACTCTACGGCAAAACACCGCTGTTCGGGAGTTTAAGATGGCCGCCGCCATGTGTTCGTTTCCCGAATGGCGGCCACCCAGAGGATACAGAACACATTACATAGATTGCCAACAATGTTGCAAACGGTAATTGGAGGCACACTTACTCCAGGGTGGTCTGGTTGTTCGGTAGTTTCACTTAGTATAATGAATAGAGTGTTTCTACCGAACAATCAGGTGAATGCTGCATATACATAACACTGTTTACCGAACACATAATATTAAGTACAGCCTGAATGCAATCTGCTACACAGTCTTAAAGGGCATTATTCCTAACAGTCATAATCTGTCCACGGATGGCCCTTAAAGGGCCAGTAGCAGCAATATAAAATACCACATGCCCAAATATTGCATTCAAAAGTACAAATTCACAAGGGGCCATAGTCAGCAGGTAGGAGGCGAGCAACCAGGCTTCTCCAGTTCACAGTGGCGAGGTTGGTTTCGCCACAGCAGTCTCTAGGCGCCGGTATTAAAATCCCCCCAATAACGAGACCAAGCTCCGCTTTGAGGGTAAAACACGAACTGAGTTTACTGGGGCTACCTGCCCGTATTTATGAGGGTCTCCCACTTGGTGGACACTCCCCTAGGGGACGAAATGGGAGACTGGAATAGCAGAAGGATATGGGGACATTCTGGACATACATCCCCCTAATATTCCCAGCATGCATCTCAGTTTCTTCCCCTCTGCTCGGGAGATAATTGGGAAGTAACTAAATTATCTCCCAGAGCAGAGGCAAATCGCCATTTTAAATACAAGTCACAAAACACATAAAAATATATAACTTTATAACTACCGAACATATTGCATTCGTGTAACACATCCCCAGATAGCCTGGATCTGAGTGCATATTATTGTCGAATAGCGCTCAGATCCCATACGCATAGTTCAATCGCCATGGAGTCAAAGTCTATTACAGTTCTTCGGTATGCGATTGACTCCATGGGAAGGCTATCTGGGTTAAGTCCATTCGTGTTATTAAATCTCCCGAACGGCCGGTATTCGTATGCGTTTGTCGATTGAGAAGGGGATGTCGACGGCTTCAGCGGTCTTCGGTTGAAAAAGTGTCCGTTTTTAGTTCCATGGAATAACCGAACACCGCTGGGCTTTCGCATAGTTAAAATGGCCGCCGCCTCGTGGTCGACATACGAACGACGACCACCCTGTATTCGGTTTTAATTGAGAAGTGTCTGTGGTTAACCGCAACGTTCTAATTGGGATCAATAGGTTAACCAGCAGCACACTTCTCTTCTGGGTGGCCGTCC